ATACAAAATAAAGAACAATGAATTTAATCTCGGAAATGCTTTCCCTCGTTTCCTATGACCTTGCGTCGTCTCTCAGGTAAAGTACGAATGCCGCCGCGAAAGATACTCGCAGACTCCGCGAAAATGACAACAATTTTTCCCAATTTGATTGTTTTTTTGCCCAGTAATGGGTATCACAATATTGTAAGACTGCCTTTTGAGCATAACAAAACTTGCTCGACTTGATTGAAATATCGGGCGTAACCTTTAAAAGGTAATTTGGTTCAAGCCATTTTCAACTCGACGATTATTTTGCGATTCGAAGGTACTAGGAATGGTGAGCAGTCTTACCTCATTTTGCCTAATGTCTCAACGGGGAAAGATAAGAATGAGGTTATAAGTTGTCTCTTCCCTGACAAATCTGAGGCGTCGTTTTGAACATGCTCTCCCACTATAGACGTTGATGGTATTACTGATTATAACAATCACTTCAAATTGAAGACACATGATGCTTCGTTTCACTGATTATATCTGATATGCATAATGTTGTGAGCTAAAAATCTAAATATTGATTAAAATCCTTGTTGTCTTTGGCTTTCTTTTAAAATATATAACACTTGGCAGGAAAGTCAAATTTGCATGCTAGACAATCAGAGGCTTTGATTTGCATCTTCCTTAATCGATCGGTTTACGATAAACTCGAAATGTTCATTGATTTTACGAACACTCGACAGAAAAGAGATTGGTCAATTTCAATGCAGCCAAGGTTGCGTTTGCACTGATTGAACACGAAAACAACCTAACTAAAAGCAAAAATTTTATAAATTGTGTTAACCGCATTTGTATCCACTTTACTTCGTCGATTAGCATTGTACTAAAAAAGCCTTTCCTGTACGCGAATTGGCGAAACCCTGGAAGTGTATTCTGACGTGCAGTCGCGCGGAAAGACGCAATGTAGTTGCGCAGAGAGCACTTATTCGGTCATTTAGGATGCCTGTCAAACTCCACCATCTGTAAACAAACACTGCACAATCGCGGCTAATTGCTTGCCCTGGGTTATGCTTACTACTATTCGGAGGTTGCTGCGCCAAACATTAGCGTTAATGCTTTCAAAGATGTCAACCCTACTACTTCCTTCCTTGTCAAAACATGTAAAAAGCAGAATTTTGTAAATTAACCAAAAGTTGCAATCACGAAGTGAAGAGGTAGGTCAAATAAAACTGGTCAGTTTGGTGGAATTTAAGACAGGGTGTTTTGGCGCCGAAACCGAATCCACGTGATCCGATGCTCCTGACTGGCACCACGTCAGAGCACGTGTTTCGACAAATCAAAAGACCCACGGAGAGGACGTCTCGCGTGCAGCCACGACAGGCACGCTAGGTTGCACTTAATTTGATCCTGTTAAAAGCTTGTCATTCGCTCGCCGAACATCCCGACTTGGGGATTATTTTTCCTGAAGTGCAATCAACGCTGCTGGTGAATCAATTTATATCGGGCGAGTGCGAAAAAAATCGTGTCTCGCAGACACTAGGTTTTTGTGCACTCTTGTGTTTTTTTTTCAAACTGATGCTTTCACGCAACAAATTTAAAATGAGTTTCAATTGGTCGCTTTCAAAACAAATAAAAGCCACAAGAAAGTAAAACTCGGGGCATTTCTATAGACGATAGTATTCTCGAATTCCTTGGGAAACTGTTCGTTGAAGTTGAATAAAGGAAGAATAGTATTCTGAAAGCAAATGGCAGCCTTTTGAAATTCAACAACGATGTTTTAAGCGCATCGCAATCAAAGATGACATCAAAATACAACATATTGATTTCGCAACTTCAAGTGAAAGCGTTCACGTAGCCTTTCCTGTCAATCGGATTTAAACTTAAATATAATTTGGCCTCACAATTAGCAAATGGGAGTCTAGCTAGGACTTCGGTAACACACAAAGCCTAGCTTCCACGACACCTAGATCTCAATTCACCTTGCAAAGCATGGAATGATCGGATCACGCATCATGAACCTCCACTGCTAAAACAGACTAGTACGGCAACCTCATCCTCCCTCGCTGTTCACGGCATCGCCCTTCCAAGGAAACCCTCTGCTCTCGTAACACAAAAGACCAATGTCTCACATCAGCAACAGGTGGGAATGGCAGGTACTTGAACCAACTTCCAGACACCAATCACAAATACCACAGACCTCATTGGCCAGACTTCAACACAGCTAGACACCACAGTCGATCCTGGTCGGTGTCTGGTGGGCAGCATGAATGTGCATACAGGTTGACTCTTGTGAGTTCTGCAACTTGAAATTTACATGTGTACGCATGGGCGAAGAGCAACAGCAACACACAACCTGTTCCGACGTCAGTAAATAGTCGCAGCGCATGTCGGTTGTCATGACAATGACAGCCTGCGTGTGAATTCGCCTCTGCCACTGCAGAACACGCAGAGGCAATTACATGCCTCGGTTCAATGCCGCTTGTCGACACTTCAAACAGCCTGCATCTGTGCAGCATGTGGCACACACCGTGGTTGAACAGGTGTTGCGGACAAGCCGAGTGTAAATCCACTTTGCCAACTGCAGCCACTGTCTCGTTGCAGAGCAAACGCGACAAATAGCACTGGTGCACAAGTGATGGTTCCACACGGTGGGACGATTCTCGTGAATACGTGAAAGATGTATGCATTCAGTCCTGGTGACATCATCGAATTATGCGTTTGTGCGCAATACGTACACGTTAATGCATTTCGTGGCTGTAAGATTCTATCAAACAAAGACACGTGTTCCACATTTTAAAAATACCTTCTGACCAACTGACCGCCCCCACTGATCGTCCAGTGCCACTGGAGCAGATTTAATCTCTACTTTTAGCCGTAATCATGTGTTGACAGAAATTGCACATTGTTTAATACTTGATGAGAACAAAACATTAATTTCATCTTCATACATCCCAACAAAAGACGGTGCATTAAAAATTTAGGGAAAATTCAAGCTCATTTGTAGATGCGTGGGACGTTAACAACCACCACGCACGGAGCTGGCTTCATCACGTGGCTCGATCTGGTACCACTGGCGTCTTTCGCTTAGTCCAGACAACGTTGTATGGAGGTTCACAACACGCACAACGGGCATAGCTGGCCACTCGTCTCCCACGAGTGATTGATGGGGTCTTCTTCAGCACTAGCAATCGGAGGATGTTGAGAACTTCCAATGGTTCCTCAGCTCATCGGGAATGTGGAAGACGCCATTTGTGGAGGTGAATTGAAGTGTTGAGGCACCCTTTGCTCGAACGAACCAAGAAAGAGATGAGACAGGAGGGAGAGAGAGAGGGAGACGCGACCGTCTGTTTGATGCTGCAACCAAGTTGTGAGTGTCGCACCACTGTGAGTCAATAGGCGTGTTGATTAATGCGGTTGTTGACGCATTCAGTCTGGGTGAATTCGTAAAAGGACAAAGTTCTGAGCGGCCAGATGAGTGGACTGAGGTGCAGGGGAGGTACATGCGCAGGGTGGGTGAGCAGACGGTCCCGCATGGCTGACGGGAACGCTGTGAAAGGGTGTCAGTGGATGGACGTGAATCACTAGGATTCACTACAGAGTCAAATCTAGGCAGATCTAGTGAACGAGGCTTCTCGGTAAATGTGGACACTAGGTAGGGAACGACTAAGCACTCATGGTGACATATCTTGTGTTGCAGATTCCGAGATCAAAGCCAGCAGAGAAATGATTAGGTCACTTTTTGCCTCGGAAACGTTTGTGTGAATCAAGACGAATTGTTTCAGAAGATGTAAAGAGATTTTATTTTAATTAGACGTTTCATGTCAAGGGTTCCTTCTAATCACTGAGTCAGCAGTGAAAGGCGCTCTGGTGGACATTTGCGTCACGTGTCCTACACTTAACTGACAACAAAAAACGTCGAATCTCGGATTTCCTTAGAGCATATGTCGGTATAATTTTCTCGCCTACTAGCACCTGGACCGAGGACAATGTTAATGTGTCTACTGACAAAGTCCGCTGAGTCAATAAATCAGTTTTCACTGGATTATTATGTGTCTGGGCTTGCACTAGGTGTAATGTTAGAAGTTAGAACAATTTGGTTTTTGTAGTTTCTATCGATAGCGACTAAAGGCACCCATCTGCCTTCATTTTGATTGACAGAATGTGGTGGCCTTCCACGAATATCCCTGTGGATATTAGCATCTCGACGCCACCCAGGAATAATAAGAAGAAGAACGCAATTTTAACAAATACAAGTACACTTGGTGCAAAAAGGCAATGTCAAAAATACTTTTTTCCCACCCTGCTGTGACCAATCACCTGATCCGAAAATCGCCCTTGAGAATACGCAGGAAAGCTCGCTTGAATGTGATGTTCGACATCGCATAGCAGAAGGGATTGATTGGCGAGTTCATGTAGCACATGTAATAGGCGAAATTGTACAAATGCTCATTAATACAGGAGTAGCCGAGCCTAGGTACATCACAGAAACCTTTGATTATGATAACCACGTGGTAAGGTGTCCAGCAGACCACAAAGGCCCCCAAAATGAAACTAATCATCCGCAGTGCCTTGCGCGCCCGCTTCTCCTTCTTCTGTTCGATCTTCCGCGTCTCCACGTTGCTTTGGTTGCGGAACCGAAACAGCCGCTCGTGGAGTAGCGCTAGACCGTTCTGCGTGGTCAGTGACTTGCGAAAAGTCGCGTTTGCGGTGTCCAGTGGAGAGGGCTTGTCCGAGTCTGTTGAGCTATGCACGGTATCTGAGGTGGGAGGTGAGTCCTTTTTCGTTACTTTTTTCGGCAAACACCAACGTCGACAGACTAACGCGGTGGTTGTTTGAGTTGTGGGCGATGAGTCGGTCTTTCGTGTCTCATTGCCTTTGGTCATAATTGGCTGATACCGTGTCTGAAATAAGCAAACGGAGAACTTGTGATAAAATTGAAGTTCAACTAACTTATTGGTCACTTTGATTTCCAATTTGTGAGTGGCCAATTTCGGGCACAATTTTTAATTATGTTTTTTTCAGAAATTAGATTCAATTTTTAACAGATGAGCTGAAGTTATCTACGTTAGGGACATTTATTGTAATTTGATCAAACACAATAGTAAATCGAGTTCTGCTAGTGATTACTGCTCAGTAATGTTATTGATTTTTGGCAACTGGTCATTGATCAAGGTCACTACTTTGAATTTAAAACTAAAAGCAGTGTGTATTTAAACAAGGTTTCCGAGCACCTTTTCTTTATTCTCAACATTTATACTAAGTTTTTCCTCTCTACTTGAGTGCTCATTTAGAAAACGAAAAAAGCAACTAATAAATAAGCAAGGCAATATGTAATGGGCAGCCGTGATAAGTTTCTGCGACTCGAAGCATATGGACTAGCTGAATAACGAAGATTATTTACTTTCTGGTATAAAAAAACAATTGTTATTCTGTGTCCCTAAACTACTACCCTGAGCATACAAATAAATGACAATTGTTTTTTGGACGCATGCGAACGGAACAAACGCATTTAAGTCAGCAAAACCATTAGCAGATCTGTCCCCCTCAATTACCATTGTTTCGAAACGGCTGAAGTTTATAAAAAGTTCAGGTGGCGTAATGAATGAATAAAACAAGTGATAAAGGTGGTTTGTGACAGTTTTGGTAGCGTGCGGAAACATTCGCTTGTAATTTAGAGCTCTGCAAACATTTGCCGATCATTTTTCGACTAACTACTTGGAAATGTGATCGCTATTAAGCACTTTATGGCAGCTCAAAATCACACTTCCATGCTAAGAATTTAATGGTGATTGGCCTGAAAATCATCATTCCCGTTTATCCTGAGCACGCAATAAAACAAATGTCTTGGGTAGGTTTGAACTGCTTGAATGGAATCCAAACTGCCGCAGGGCCAGGGATGGCTGTCAAAAGACCCACTTAAGCTTAGGTTTGTTCATTTAATCATTGCAAAGACGGGATCAGCAACTCACTTTAGTATCAGAATCTGCAAATGTGAATTTGATTTTGGAAGGAGATTGCCTCGTCCAGGGATCGTTGCACTCGGACAACATTGACGAGCTTTTGCTGGAGGGTGCGTTGGGCGATGCTATACAACGATACTGATCAGACACGTCTGGATGTTCCAGGCTCAGTTCACTGGACCTCCGATTGTGCGTCGACCCAAAGTCTGACGCTCTCCGCAGGTTGTTTGAATCCCCCAAGCCGGAGTCAACCAGGTCCGTCTGATGCTCATTTTGAAGGCGTGCTGCTGACTGGTTTGACGGCGCTTGCCTACTTAATCCATTGCCGCAAGCATAGGATTTGCTGTAAATAATGACAACAAACACCAATTTCTGACGTCTATAACTGTGTAATTTAAGTACACACAACGCATTTTTGCAAATTGACATTGAAATAACCCACAGTGATTTGCTTTGTACGTAACTCACAATGAAATGCACCATTGGATAAAATGTCGGATTCACGCTTCTATCGATTTCCCCCCTTCAGTAGCCTCTAATAGATGTGGTAGAAGGCACATAATTGGTGCAATTTTGGCAAGAGACTTCGCAATTTACATCAAAAGAGTTTCAACTGACACTCTAATGGCAAAATAAAGGCGTGGTTAAGAAAATACAAAATTTGATTTGGTAACACGAATTCTAGTGGTAGCTGTGTGAACCAGAAAACGTGTTTATTTTAGAAAGCGCTGCTAGACAAGCCTGCCTGAATTGTGCCTGCATCTCCGGATTTTAGCATGGCAATTTTATGGTAGTTGTGAGACCCCCAAGAAATGGAGGGAAAGGAGGCAGACTTTGCTGCGTCTTGTGGATTGCATGTTAGCCACATGCGTCAAAAAACTGAGATTTAGTTTAACGACGGCTTAAACCACCAATGGCTTTGCAGACACAAAAACAACCAATAAAATTTAAACGAGATCTCAGAAACTGCAGCCACGATAGTTCATGAAATGGCTTTAAGCTGAAAATTAACGATTAGTATATTGGCATATGCCTGTAGTTAAAATTAGGTAATTTAACAAATAGCTTTCACCATTAATTTATTTGATAATTTTTAGCCAAAGTTTTGTAGACCGTTTCTACTAGGGTGCATATTATTAAAAGGGTCAGACTGAATTTATGCATTTTGTATTCAGTACCAGCTGCGCAGATACCTTCGGAACCAACCAAAATTGCCATGGGGAACACAGGAGCAGCATTAACTAGGTCAATTTTTAAGTGCGCAGTTAAAATGTTCCCTAAGAACCAATGAAGAAAACTTGGTGTAGACGTTCTAATTAAGAGAAGTTTAAGTTTAGTTAAATCCAATTGGATATTAGTGCAACATTACTTAGGCCGCACAAGATATTTCTGAAACGATAAACGACAAACAGAAATGTCGGCTTAAAGTCCAATGTTGACAAACCGGAAATCAATATTTGCTAGTTCGAAATCTGATTTTTTCAATTTGAATATAAAAGCCAAGACGCTACTGGCATTTTTGCTAAGCAGCGTATTTTATGAAACGATAAGTATGGAATATTGCATTGTTTCAATGGATATCTATTTAATGAACATGTATTTTCAAGGCATTCAAAGCCGTCAATTACTCTGTCGAAGGACATAATGCCGACTCACTCAAGTTTGATTCCATCCAATAAACTGGTGGCAATAAAGTCAGCTTGAGCAATGCACCTATCACCAATCGGCCTTGAGATGACGCCATTGTGGGCGTCGCTATCGTTGTAGGCCACCTTCACGGAGAGCCCAATCTTCGACATGGTGGTGCCAGCCATGAAGACGAGCTCCGTCAGCCCGCAGTGCGAGGCGTTGGCCTTGCGCTGGAGGCCCACAGCGGCCTTGTAGATGCCGACGTAAAGCGAGATCATGATGGATAGCGGGATCCAGAAGTAGGTGACAGTGAGGATCGTGTTGAAGGTGGTGTAGTGGGTGAAGGGGATGTTGCAGAGGCGGTCAGGTGGACGTACTTCACCGGTCAACTTGTACCAACCAAACACCAGTGGAATCCAGAGGGCAGCTGGCAGTGACCAACTCATTGCCAGCATCACCATAAGCTAAAAACGTGATCGACGGAGTAACACGAAAACTCTCAATTTAATTTAACTCTCAACAGTTTGGTTAGGTTTTTAAAATAGTCCAATTGGTGATGGATTTGAGAAATGACAATATTAAACAAAACGAGGGCTCAAAATGATGACTCCGGCCAATTTAAATATTTATTTGAAGGCCCAGTGTCTGAGCTATTGGTTAATTTGTAGAAGAAAAATTGATTCAATTACAACCGGAAACTTGAATGGGGATTAATTTATATTTAATCCTCCCTTTTCGAGCATACGAGTAAAATTGTTGGGATTAGATTCAACAGTGAACTTTGGACCAACTCGTACGTATCAAGCTTCCAGAAGAACATCTTAACTTACTTTGTTGGTCATTTAAATTTTTAAACCAGAAGATCCTTTTTGAAATTTGATGAGAAGGTGATTTGACCTTTAATCGGTTGAACGGTTCGACTCAATATTAGAAATTAAAAATGGAGCTTGAAACTATTCTGGCGGATAAGAAAGCAAACTAATGCCTCAATTTTTTTAAAAAAAGTCACGTGAATCGAGGACCTAGATGAATATTCTATTTCTCTTCATCCAAAATAATTGAGAGGTTTTTAACCAATAGAATTGCTTCAATATTTGAATCACTAGTGCGTATGCTAAGTCACATCAACATTTGTCAAATCTGCTGTTATTAAAGTTTGTTTTCTCAAAGATATTAGTCGCATTAATTTGTGCTTTTGCGGTAGACGAAGCCTGGTCTATTTAATTGCGGCGCGATTCTGCGATCAGCGATTAGCTTTACTCTCTAACCAACACACCCTTTAAAGTGGCGCTGCATGAAGCCCTTAATTACCGCAGCAAAGACTTTCCCTCTAAGCCGTATAATAATGGCGCAGACGGTGAGTCCTCAAGGCTTTTAGCAGGCACGCATTGACGTGAATAATCTACGAGAAACCAATTTCCTTCAGTGGCATAGTGATAGCTGAATTGTTAGCTGTCCATCGGGGGAACGATACAAGTAAAAATCTCGCGGAACATTTTTTTAAATATCCCATGATTTGATAGATTACACGGATGCATTTGCATATCAGTTTTGTGTGCAGTGAAGGGAATCAAATAACATCCTACAGACACAGAAAGTCAGGAGTAATGCATGCGCGGTAAGCAGAAATTGTGCGGAATAGGCACAAGCGCCCATTTAAATCTGCTAAGGATAAACCAAACAGAACTTGAAACAGACCTGATTGCAGCATCCTTAAGTTATCTGCGCGTGATTATCGTTTTATGCAGAGAGTTTGTTAACATTTGACGCACGCAATTATTCGTGCGCACTTTCAATAAGCTTAACCATCATTTTTTTAAATTTTGATGAAAAATCAACAGTTTAGACGACCAAAAATTTCGCGCAATTCCCGAGTAAAAGTTCGTGCAGTTCGATCGTGCAGTTTCGATTTGACGTTGTAACAGCTCTATTGGTTTTAACAAGAAGACAGACGCGCAAGTGGTGTATTACAATACATTAAACACCTCAAATCTGATTGGTGTCTACGTCCTAATAATTATTGGTTCGTGGCAGTGATCCTTTCAATGGGAGCAAAAGCTGATGAAAGTTTGGCAAAGGAAATAAAGTAGGGAAAGTTTTTATAAAGTTGGCCGAGGGAAGAGAAAATGCAATGGGTTTATTTCTAATAGAAATTGGCATGTAAAGAGAAGGAATTTTTAAAAATAATACTTTACGAAAATCTAGACTGTTTACAAATGGTTCAGTGTAGGGGAATGTTACTTTCAAAACAAGAACGGAATAAAAACCGGCAGCTCGCCGTTCGACGTGGAACTTATCCATGAAAATTATTTAGTGATTTTTCTACCAAGTAAAGTGGGATATATCTACATCGCAGTATCGTCACGTACCTACACTCCAGTGAACAAAACGTCTATATTGAGTGGTTTATTTTAATCGAATCATCCGTCAAGTGCACTAGCAAATATCAAATTTGTGTTATGTTTTGCTAATTTTCCAAGCTGGATTATACTGGTAATTATTGCAAGTTGCTTCAAGCTGTCTGCAATCTAAATTGTGTTCCGAATTTTGATTGGCTGACCTAGTCATGTGTCATGTCGACTGGTGACGTCAATAGCAGCGTTGGGAAATATGCTGCATCCCGGTAGAGTTCATCCTTATCGCTAATCAAAGTCCAATCCAATGAAGAAACATTTCCATATTGTGGTCTCAATTTTGTTTTTCACAAATTGGTGTGGTTTTGGAACGGTAATTCACGGTAATGGTCATAACATAGAATTACCTTGCGATCGGTTCGCCAGTTCCGATACTTGACCGGAAATCGCACCGATAAGAATCGGTCCAGAGTGATTAAAAAGACGGTAACCTGAGAAACGAGACAGGCGGTGAAATCTACCGCTAGCCAACAATCGCAGATGAAATTTCCCAGTGGCCAATACCCCAAAAGCAGGTACACGGCAAGGAGGTTGAGAGAGATCAGTCCGATGGTCAAGTCGGTTACAGCTAGGGAGATGATGAAGTAGTTGTTGGCAGTGCGCACACTGCGATCCACGCAGAACGCAAACAGGACCAGCACGTTGCCGCAGATGCAACAAATTGACACCAGACTGGAGACGACGGCGATTATGATTTTCTCGGGGAATGTATACAACGAGGTACCGGTCATCTTGCAACAGTGAAACCTCCTTCAATCTTGCTAGTTGGCACGTAGATGGGATGTGCTCTAAAAGTTCGGCAAACGTCCTACTTTGTCTGGAGCAGCCAGGTATTTTGCGAATTGAAAGTGGCTTATATTATAAAGCATTTAACAAAGAAAACATTCTATGCTTTGCGTGTTTTTTTAAAGAAACTAACCACATAAATCTTATGCTAATTAGCAGCCAGAGCAAGTGAAATGTTCAACCTAATTGGTTGTCCAGTGAATCTGATTTAAACAAGAAAAGCGGCAAAAGGAAAAAAACCAGGGGCACAGGCTAATGGTTATGGTTTAAACGCATTACTTTCACGAAACCTCCGACAAAACAAATCGACCTGACAAAGAAACTCACGAGGTCAGATTGAGCAAAATGTCAAAATATCCTATCGATGTTTTGGTGGCGCCATATTTGGTGCTTAGGGGGAGAGAGAGAGTGGGCTAAAGGCAAAGTTGAGGTAATGACATCCACTGAGTCTGCTATCGAAAACGTCTTTTGTACAAATTGATTTGAAAGTGCCGCGTCTTCGCGAGCCAAAACAAATAATTTTGTCGCGAAGATCTGCTGTCATTGGTCCAAGCACGACTGGCCAATATCCGCGTGCCAGGCGTTGCTTTTGCTTCTGGTCAGAACCAAAATGCACACACACACACACAGAGCCCCAGATGCAATTGTGGGTTGTTTTAAAATGACATTGCTCCAGTGGCCGTCATTTGAGTGGTGCGACACACTTTTAGATTAATGCGTGTAACCAGCACATAGTTTTGGTGTGAAGAACAGTTGTAATAGCCCATTGTTGAATGGGACAACAGTGACCGATCAGAGTCATTTGGAATTTTGACGCAAACATTTACAAACGGCTCTTGTGATGCTAGATTTCATGACTCCAGTGCTAGAGCCTAGACACCGTAAATTTTGAAGTGACTTTAATCCGCTTAATTCTAATTAACACTTGTACAAAACTGAGGCACCCTTTGGTAAAAATTACGTGAAATTGTTAACGGCTACTTCTGTGTTTTATAATCTCGTGTGGAAAATTATGACTTCTTAAATGCAAACGCATAGGGTTGTCACAAATTATTTTTGAGTTAAAATTTTAACTTTTCAAAGAGCCTTTAATTTAAATTATTACCAAGAGTTAAAATCAGCAAAGACTGAACGTGAAAAAAAGTCACATTTTTTTCAAACATTCATTAACGTTTCTGATGTTACTTAGTTTCCGTGGCTCTGTACATGCGACAACGTCCCATGGTGATATTGCAGCAGTGGTGAGTAGGAATGTCAGATAGGACTACCCTTCTTTCAAAGAGTAATATTTTGCGTTAAAAACTTAAAAAATAAAAAAAATGAATTTTATTATGAACAAAATAAATGAGCAAGTTAAGCCGAAAATAGGTTTTGCGGGCAAGTGAAACGCTTTAAGAAATGTTTCTATTTCGACTTCAGATGGACTAATTTTGTCGCCACTGACTGAACACCTTCCATTTGCAATGGACCAATTTCTTGGTACACACAGCGGTCCTTTTGCGGGGTGGTTTGCCAAAAAACCTTCGCCCCCAGAACCCCTTCCCGGTCCGAGTTACTTTGTACCTTAATTAAAAAGTTACCTTCTGCGTGATTCCGCTTGAAAATTGCATCTAAGAAGGGCTGCCTCGCAAACCTCGTTTTTTGCCATGTGGTCCGAAGGAAGAACCAGTCTTAACCGCATTTACTTGCCAGCAAATTTTCGACGAAACGTCTGACAAAGCTGAATGTGCCTAGAAATGAAGAAATGAAAAGTAAAAATGCCAATGCGCTCTGGTATTGGAGTCCAGCACCGATCAATTAGATGATTAATCATTCGATTGATTGAGAGGCTAATTTGATTTTTTTAAAAGCTGTTCATATGAGCGCACAGGAATTATTTCTGATAAAAAAAAACCTTACAGACGTGGAAGAATGACAAAATTGTTAAATGTGCTTCCGTAATAGCCCACAAGATGAGATTCGCTAAAATGTTGCGTCTCCAGAACGCTGCGTTGTGCTCAGGTGTGATCTTTTAGCCCAAAATGGGCCTTCGATTAACCCAAAGAATATCCACTTGGTTGTAATACGAACATTTAAACAGGCTTTGACGTCGGTAACTGATTAGATCTATATTATTAAACGTCGGCTTCCCGCAACTAACTGAATTCCTCTTCCTTCAGTAATCGGTTAATTAAGCTAATTGCAACCGTTTCTGAAAAAGGCCAAGCTAGTTAGACACAATGGAAATAAAGTTCTCTTAACTGTGGTTCAGATTTTCTACAAAATGTTAGCAAAATGCGAATTAGTCAGTGGTTCGATCTGAACTCTAACTGGTGTGCTTCCAGCTAGCGAAGTTAAATGAGGAAGGCAATCTAGCTTAATCACAGTGACGGGTACGCTTCTGTGGTGACACCTTGCACGAATACTTCACTGTGCACGAGTGCGTACAGAATCTGTTCAAATATCTCATTTGTTCAAAGATAGACGTTAGGAATGGTCCTTTTATTGCATACCTTACCAAATTCCTCTTTTTGAACAATTTGCAAATGCGTGACAGAACAGTAGACATCGAATTCGGTTCATTAGTTCATTTTGACAGCTTGTAACACTCAATTTAATGTCACATCTAAGGGACCATTGAGAATCGCCATCAACCAATAAGAATTTTAGGTTCCAAAGCACATAAAACGGGATGTTTATTTGCCTCATTACGGTTACTGACGTGCTAACATGATCTAACCTTGAGTTATTTCCCGAGATTTAACGGCATTCATTCCCACATGTCCCGTGTTTCACGTAATTCTCACATTCCGAGTGCCAGAAGAGAGCTCTCGCTGTCTCAGCCAATGGCCGAGTTACACGTCAGACTGGACGGCCTTGACTCGATGAATTAGGAGTGAATGAGAAGCTGTCAGAGTGTGTATTGGAACCCATTGACTGATAATGCTTAAGGGAAGGATGCCATTATAGCAAAACTAATTGCGGTTTTACGAAAAAAACATGACCTCGCAACAAAATGCACGCGTTCATGCCTCTCTCCTTCACGTCGTTGTCCTGTCATTAAGACCCTCTTGCAAGTACATGCAACTTGAAACCAGCGGTAAAAACCATGCAAAATCGCGTGTGCGTGTAAACGGTCTAAAGAATGATTCTTGTGGTACCAATGCGTGTACAATGTGACATGATCATTCGTTTGTAAATTAAGGTGAACGCCTGATCTCAACTGTTGCGTAGTTACAAAATAGCGCACTCGATTTAAAACCCACTTACAATACAACACATTTCGACCTCTATAGGTGTATTTCAATGTATTATAAGGTTTAAAATTTGGGTAATTTATTTTGCAGGGAACAAAAATGTCTTGGGGAAACGCCAGGTGCGCCTGGAAGATTTCCCATTTTATTTCCCTTAGTTGCTACAGTGTCTGTTGAATTGCATGGGGTCTGGTGTTGACTTGAAAAAAGGACGAAATGTGGACGTTTTGCCTGGATCCAAACATTTGCTGGGACGCATTGCTGATGGCGCTACTTCGGGAACGAATCTGGCACAAAATTGCCTCACAATCAGACGAATAACATCACTAACATTGGAGGCATTTACATTTGCTCCATTTATTCCCCACTTTCCATTCCTTAATTACAACGTCTTGATTTATATTGTTGCTGTAGGCAGTGTATCATTCATCGCCAGGTATGAGTCAGTCCCAAAAGGGTTCGTTTTACTGGGAGACAAGAAGAGAAAGACGGTTCACTTTGTTGGGCTTTGTCAAAATGCTATTGAACTCTCAACTCTTAGTAGTTCGGTTCTCTCCCCAGAGCGAATCTGCGAATCATTTTTCACAAGGTCATAGCTGATGTTATAACCAATGCAAGAAGGTTGCCCTGCGTGATTTAAATGAAGTCACCATCATGAAATCAACGAAATCGCTGTTTAAATTTCCTAAATTTCCAGATAATTGACTTGAACTTTTTTGTTATGCGTCTACCACAAACTTTTCTTTTAAACCTTTAAAAACCATCACTATAGCACCACTTAAAATGGGTGAAACTATGCTTAAACCCTGGGATTTGTGATGGTCCGGGTTTGAAAATATCGGTGATGGTGCCAATGCAATCCGTTTACTTGCTGAAGCTGTTAGGCAGACACGAGTGGAAGTGTTTGGTCTACCTCTCACCACGTATTTTTTTCTACCGAAAAGGATGTTTTGTGTTCGTGCACATAAATACTGTCACGATTGCAGCTCCGTAGTGCTAAAATCGCCATAATTCCTTAGTCTAAACATAGCTGTTTACGCCTGTGTGTTTCAAGTTACTTTACGACGTGAAAGTGAAATATATTGCAAGAAATTACTGCAGAAGACAATATCCTCTTTTTACCAGTTTACCCACGTCCGTAAAGAGGATACGTAATCTCGTGTCGAAGTAAAACAAATTTAACAAACAGGTTGTCGCAATCAACGGTTTGTGTACTCCATCCCTAGAGGTCATCACATTAATGAAAACTACTTTTAAAAACAGCTAATATTTCGTTGCTAGGCGCCACGACATCTCCCGCTGATTGACACTAGGAATGCATTTTTCTGTTGATATCGTGAGCAGAAGGAACCTTTCGTCGTAGATCGCGTCTTTTTGACAGAAACCTATCTCCCCTTCCTTCGACACAAATCTTATTTCAAACAGGCGTTCTTGAGGCAAATCGGGTGTATTCTCTGTTCCATTGGGTTTTATTTGTGCGGTAAATGAGTGGCCTTGCCAGCCCACACGGCATGTTACCATGAGAAAATGGTACTTTGTGATTGTTCAATGGAAATTTACTCACTGACAGAAAGCAACCCCGAGGACCTAGGCTGAGGAAATTCTGGGAAGAGCACAGTCTTAAATCGCTATGGATGACGGAGGCGGTGATGACGAAGTTAGATGTCACAGTAGAATGTTTAATCGCTCCCTACCTAGTGTCCACAATTGCA